TGCAATATTTTAACTAAGACTACCTTCAGAAAATAGAAAATAGGTCCTACCTATAAAACAGGAATGACTCTATGGTTTGCTTATAAATTGTCAACACAAAATATCCCAGTCAATTCAAACCCCTCAATTCTCTTATCATTGATCCTTTCCTCCTATGGTAAAACAAACCCTATTCTAAACCTCTGTCATCTTATAATGCTCCTAGTCACTGTGTTCTCAGGCTCAAAGACTGGCAGGCATATCCTAAAATTATCTAATTGGAATGCCAGAAAGAGAGTTTCATATAAAATCCTAATCACTTCATCCCTGATGTTTTCAGTGTAATTACTAGAGCTCCATGTAAAAAGCACCAGCCTTGGCTGGTTGCATTTGCAGTCACTGTAATCAGGGCTCATATTTGTCTTAGGATGCCATCTTCAGTCTGGAAATGAGGAATGAGTTACTGAATGCAACCCTTTCCTTCATGTGACTGTGCCCTTATGAGCTCATCCATCGCTTTTATTGTATCTGTGTTGTGTCTATTGGTGTAGTGCATGGCCACCATGTTCCTGTGTTGTGCAAGTCCTTGCCTGGCTCCAAGCAGCTTACTGTGGTCCTATTTCCACAGCAAGATGTTAAACCAGCTTGAAGTTTCTCCACATATTGCAGGAGTCCATTTCAAAACTGACGCTGACTGGTGCGATTTATGTGCAGACAATGATATCAAGTTGGAAATTTCAATCTAAATATTTCTTTTCCTCACTATAAAAATTCACAAAATCAAATTAGATTAGAGTGATTGTCTTCCTCATCTTCCATAAGTAAGGACAATGAACTCTGATTTTTTTTAAAAAGGAAAAGATAGCTATAGAACATAAGAAAGTATGCTCTTTATTCTATTAAGTAAATGCCCCTCTGATTGTTAATAAGTCAAAAGAGGTTGTTTTGTCACATAGTTAACTGCTAGAGTTCAAGTAGTATGTTATTAAAGCTTATTGGATCATCAAATGGCTTTTCAAATGTTTAATAGTAAAGTCTCAAATTTAATTTGAACTGAAAATGTTAGAGAATAATTAAAGCATCCAAATGCAGATGTTTTCCATATTAAATAGCCTTTTAAATCAGCCTTTAAGCTAAAACAAAGGAAAAAAATCCATAAATTTTATTTTCATTCAATAAGGAACAAATAATCTTCAGTCATTAGCATTTTCCAGTGTGTACATGTTTATCCATTTTATCGATGTAGGTCCATGGCGAATGGGAGAATATAGATCAGACAATGTCTAGGATGGTGGACACTGGGAAAGCCATGTGCATGTCTGCAATTAATGTTATGTGTCTGTATCATTGAATCTTGCGTATACTAAAAATTAATTAACAAAATCTTCTTACTTCAATAAGGTACTTTCACCTAGCATGGAAAGAGGGGACAGGCAAAGGAGAGGAAAGGAAATAAAAAGAACTAAAATGTGTCATGTACATGTACCAATCTGTTTTTGTTTTGAGTTTTGTTGTTGTTGTTATTGTTGTTGTTGGTGGTGGTGGTGGTGGTGGTGCGTGTGTGTGTGTGTTTTGTATTGGGGATTAAACTCATGACCCCACAATTACCAGACAGACACGAACACCACTGAGCTGAATCCCTGGCCCCATGCACCAGTCTTTCACAGTGAATTTTTATTATGTATATATTACAAACGTGTACTAATAAAATAATAAGATAAGGTGTTTTCATATGGCAAATATACTTTAAGTGATTTTCCCCAAGAAATACAAAGTGCTTCATACACACAATTCCATTATCATTGAAATGTCTGCTTTGACAAATAATGAATTGTGTATAAGCAATAACTATTGCTATTAAAAGAAACAAAGTATTTAGGGGCATTCAGAGAGCTAGCTGAATTTTATCAAGGACAATGAGACTTTTCCTGATAAATGAATCATCTTCACTTGCCTTATTTAAAATCTTAAAATTTTGTGAAGACCAAATACTGTGTCTAAGAAATGCGACTGGCTTTGCATATCCTCAAAATCAGCACACGTTTTAGGAAGAGATTTTGGTAAGTGGCAGAGCTCAAATCTGAACTCAGGTCAGCTCAGCTTCTGAAGACTTTGTCCTCAGATATTGCACCCTGCTCTGCAGTGAGCAGCTGGCCCAAGTACTGGTAGGCATAGTCCAGGACACACTGAATCTACTCAGGGTCTCCCCTGGCTGACACATACTTTCCTGGCCTGTTTTATACCGCAGGTGTGGTACTGCCTGGTGATAACTTTTACCTGCAGGCATAGTCCAGAACACACTGAGTCTACTCAGTGTCTCCCCTGGCTGACACATACGTTCCTGGCCTGTTTTATAACATAGGTGTGGTAATGCCTGGTGATAACTTTTACCTGCAAGTACTGGCAGCAATTCTGGGTGTTCCACTATCTTTGAATCTCACATATTCCCTTCCAAAGGGCAGCTTCCCTCACCTCTAAGTCTAGGGTGATCTGCTTGATTGTGCCCTACATAAAACCAACCTGCACTCTAGATGTTACACTGAAAAGAAACAATATTTTCAGACAAATATGTGTCCTTTATGTAAAACATTACACTTCTAAATCACACAGTGCATGCATGTACACACATGGTTTATAGATATATAAATCTAATCATGTCCTTACCATAGAGATAACTCTTCTGTGATATTAATCTTCCTATTCGGTAGGAAAATCCTCATTGGGCCATCACCAACTGACCTCCAGTATACTCTATTCTCACATCTTAGAGCACAGAGAGACTGGGCTCTTCCTTGCATAAAACAAAACACCTTTGCTATTACTAAGGTCGGACCTTTGAGCCAACCACCAACCATCACAGATTCCTTTCCAGATCCCTTTACAGGTCCCTACTCATGTTCTGCTATTGTAAAAGATGGTAGCAATTTTCTTTTCCTAGCATACACACTAGTTCCCAGCATTGCCGTCGCATTTTTAATAGTCCAGCTATAATATAATGTACAATCATCTCCATTTTCTAGTGTCATGCTGATATTGCTTGCTCCTTCTGGGCTGGTTTATCTTCTGAGTTTGTTTAGTTATCTTACCTCCGTAAGACATTTCCAGTCCCAGAGCTCCTGAGTCTTTGCCTCAGATATTCTTTCCTCTGTGTCTGCAACAGAATGTGTTCTCACTTTTATTAACACAGTTTTTATACTACTCTGAATGAGCTTTAGAAATGACTATCTCTTCCAACTCAGGGAGCATAGTGCTCTGGTTTTGGGAGAGAATATGTCTTCCACTGAAGCCAGGAAAAACTATATGTAAAATTAAGGAATGAGCAAAAGCTAGAATTGTCTGACAAATTGGATTAATTCCTCATGAACCTTTTCACCTTAGAACAAACTGAAATTGATGCACCATAGTTATTTTTCAAGAACTTGAGACTCTAGAAGCAGAAAATACCTGGTAGGAGCTCAACATTTTTTTGATGATTTTTGGTTGAATATGCAACATCCAACTCCAAATCCAACCCATTCTTAGTCTAGGTTAACACATGTGTATGCACACACACACACACACACACACACACATACACACACTGCTTCACATCTAAATATAAGAAACATTAGTTCATCTAAAAGTTGAATTACAAAGTCTATACATTAAGAGCTCTCAATTTAGACTGAGGTGGCTTAAGCAACAAGCATTTATTTCTCAAAGTCCTGAAAGCTGAGATCTGAGATCAGGGAGCCAGCCTGGGGGAGTTCTGGTGTGCATACAGCCAGCTTTCACTCTATCTTCCTGGGATGTGGAGACACTGAAAACTGGATTCATCATGAGAGCTCTACTATCATGGACTTCCAAAGTGCCCATCTCCAAAGTACCATAGCAATTGGGATTAGGGTTTCAAACTTTCAGTTTAGAATAGACACAAACATTAGCTCCCTATCAAGAACAGAGTGTAATTAGCAGTAATTAAACATTTGGTATTTGGTAACTTAAAGGCCTTTATTTAATATAATTTAGAGACGTGTCTTTGAGTTTTGTTTGCACAGGGAAATCATCCATTTGTTTAAAAAAATGTAGCCTATAAAAACATTCATCTCATCTATCATGTGACCCTTCATGATAAAAATGTTACAATATATCCATGCTACATTTTGTACTTTTCAAGGTAATTTCACATGCATTATCTGATTGTGCAACTACCAGATAGCTTAATGTCAGAAGTGTTTCCAAGCGCATATTTGTACCTGGCTTTTAAAAGAAGATTCTATCCTTACATGTGGTTACACATGAAGCATATATTTACTCTGGTGCACAACACAGTGAAACCCAGAGCAATTTCAATTGTGCTCATCCAAGGACAAAATTAGGTTTTAGGATTTAACCCAGCTGGCATAATAAAATATAAATAACTTGTTTACCTGAGAACAACAGGAATAAAAAAGCGAAAAACTCAAATATAAGGCAGTACAGGAACAATACTGAAATGTGACCCTGAAAATACCAATATGTTTTGATACTCTGAAATGAAATAATAACTAAGAAAGAAAAGAAAAACTAAAACAGGCAAACAAAAAACCCTTAAAGATGCTACCAACATTGAGAATCATTTTAAGAGTAAGAGCCCTTTATTTACAGCCCTTCATAGTTTATTATACAACCCATAATATTTCTCAAGTTTTAACATATCTGCCTTCCATTCTAATAGGTGGATCTTCATATATCTTGGATTATTCTGTTGATTATCATTGCCAAAACTTACACAGATATTAAGTAATCAATGCACATCTTTTTAATTTCCTTGATAGCAAAGATAAAAGTATGCCAAATTTAAACTCATTTACTGTTTCCTAAATGATAAGCAGTTCAACTCAAGGAAAAAAACAAAGGTAACATAGATCATTTTCTTCGCAGAATAAGTGAAAAGATACAGCTTTATTATTTTCCAATAAGAAATACAGTGATTGTAACCATAATTTTAGCCTAGTGCTAAATATATTATTTGTAACACATAATTACATTGAGTTGCTTACCTTTCAAGGCAAATGTTCTCATGTTGTCTTAGTTACTTTATGCTCGTTGCTGAGACAAAATACCTGATGCCCAAGTTGGGAAAGGAAAGGTTTATTTCTTACAGTTTTTGGAGGTTTCAGTCCACATTCAGTTGGCTCCAAGGCAGGCGGGCATGGCTGGGCCGCAGTTCATGGAGGCCACCAACAGCAAACAGGAACCAGCAAAGAGCAAGTCACACTTTCTTCTTGCCATTACATCACATCCTGGCTCCACCCCTATGTGGTTGGCACACTGACACCATCAGTCTAAGCACTAGACAATGAACCATCACAAATACACATTGCAAACTCATGAGGCCTGGGGGACACAGACATAAACCATGACACATGTTAACCGCGAGAGTGAAATTGGCCACTTTTCCTAGCATAAGGTTCTGTGCATTATCTAACTAGTAAGATGTGAATGTGTGGATAAAGAGACAAATTTCTTACTACCTCAGAGCCTCACTTTAATGTTTAATTTCATTTTGGGCATCCATGGTACACTAGCAAAAACTTTTATTTACTTTTATTTCCTAGCATTCAATTTTGTTGCTCTGAAATACATCAAGTACTTTACTAAGTGTTAAATCAATTCTAATATTGTAGTATATAGTTTTTCTTTTATGAATGAGTTTGTATTAGCCAAAGTCATTCTGTGCTGCTGCTTTTAAGTCTGACTTCCCCTTTTTCAGGCAAAGCTGGCAGGTATATAGTAAAGTAGTTCATAAATTTACATTCTCCAGTTTAATTCTCTTCTTAGCCCAGGTCTGTCTCCTGGGTCCCTGTACCACTGGGAGTAACCAAACTACAGACCTCAGTTTCAAACTCTTTCTCTCTAAGGGGCCTGGATTTAATGATGAAGATCAGTCATTTCAGATGAAGAAGACTAGAAATTATTTGTCATCTCTTTCCTGAATATTAAATATGACATGTTTTCTTTTATTCCTCAAATTAACACTAGTGTTTGTATTTTAATGATAATATGCTAAGGCTAATGAGGATAAAAGACTTTACAACAATGAACTTCGGTCTTAAGACAGTGATTATAAGAACCATTTTTCCCACCAAAGTACATTGACCTCACAGAATCACTAAGAAACATAAATCTCTAAGCAGACTGTCTGGTATCACGGCTTCCCAACCTGCTCACCATTGCAGAGAGGGCACACACTGAGCTCCTCTGTTTCAGCTCAAGACTTCCAACGCGATAAAAGCAGAAGAGTCCAAGTGAATAGTAACATTTAAGGATATATGGCTTGGTCACTTCCTTATTTGGCCGACCTAAAGTCCAGAAGTGATTGAGTAAGCTGAGCAGGGAGAGGTACTGTCAGAAAAATTAATGGGTGAATTCAAAAGAGATAACAACTGCTTAACAGTTTTTCCCCAGGCTATTGTTATCATTACTTTTGAGAGATGATTGTATAGCAAAAGAATATGAAAGATCTAATAAGTGTAGGTCACATGAGCTGCTGAGAAGTCTTTGTACAAAACTCCATAAGAACAGTATTGTAAGAACTTCAGGATTATATAAGTGATCATAAATCTGTTTTCATTAATCTATGTGAAATTTGCTTTTCTTTACTTGATTTCTTCAGTGTTAGATTGCATTCTTTTACTGTATTATTATTGCTCTTGATCTTCTATTCAACCTATACATAGGACCTAAATATTTCACATAACACCTGACTGTCCTGTTGATTTCACAATTAAGATTATATATTTAATCTGTATGCAGATCAGCATCTCTTCTATTTATATATGCTATGTATAGCACTTATTTTTATGCTTATTATTCCGTAACTTTAATTAGATTTTCTCCTTACTAATGACTCATATTGGTACATTACATTTTCAAGAAAATCATATATATTTTCTAGTTTGACATGTCTGTTTTTGTACATGTCTTGGCGTGTATATATATATATATATATATATATATATATATGTTTATGCTGTAGATTCATGAGCCAATATTTACGATGCATGCTGCAGTTTTGCAGTGGCACATATAACTATAGAGTCATCACATTCACATTGAATTATAAAACTGACTGCTAACAATGAAAACTGGCATATCCAGAGTGATCGACATCATAAATCTGCACAACTATGTCATTTTTATTTTATTTATTTTTGTTTGACAGCAGAAAAAGTAGCCTGCTTGAATCTGTTTTAATAAGATAGTTTTAAAACTTATAATGTCAGGTAAAAGCCTCCACAAAGTCCCTTTCCAGTTAATTGACTGAAAATGGAATACCATAGTCACACAAAAATGATTACGAAGTGAATCTCCTCCCATCAATTTAGTCTTCCTTGTTTTGATCAAATGTGCATCTTCTTATTTGTAGATTGTTCCCTTATTTAAAATAAAAACAACTTGTGAATTGCATATTTAGTTAAAAAATATGCAAAGCGTAAGTGCTTTCACCCAACTGTAAGACTTGACTTTACTGGGTTGAAATACGTGACTAACAGATGTTGACCAAAGATAAGGTACCGATTTTAAAAATACATAATCAGAAAAACTGGTCAGTGCGAGTTCTTCTCATTAAAGACAATAGAAGTTCTGGGTTTTTTCCCCATTTTCTTCCAAAAAGATACTATAGGTGAAATATGTTCGTATTATTCATCATATTTTGAAAGTACATTTAAATTTGTCGCTGAATTTGAATTTTCATGTTTGAATTTCAGAGGAAAGGCCAGTGTGTCATAGTAGGGTTGTTCTGGAAAGAAGTTAACAGCTGAACTGCAAAAAAGAGAAACTTTCTAAAGCTCTGTCGTGTTTATATGTAGAACTTCAAGCTTTATTAATTAATTAGCCTTGGAAGTGAATGTTTTTTTTTTTCAATCAACTTCAAAAACCTTGAAAAAATTTGCATACACTCTAAAATCATCATATTCCCACAGAGGAAAAATAAATACAGTATACCCCGGCAAAGCAATGGTTTAGAGTTCTCACCCTCCGTCATTCCCAGGTCTTTCCTTAGAACCTAATTAATAATTGTTCATTGAAACTCTCCAAATGTCCTAGAAACTGCAAATAGCCTTGCAATCTTTGTATGTGTGGGTTGTTATGTGTGTGGGTTTGTGTGTGTGTGTGTGTGTGTGTGCTTTTTTTTTTTTTTTTTTTTTTTCTTTTTTAACTAAATCATAAGGTTCGCAAGTAGCCAATCAGAGAGTGTTACTCACCTCTCTTTGCTGATGATTGGCTGCTGCCCTGTAACCCATCTCTGGCAGAGGCACTACATTCCTGCATCATAACAGCTCCCTACCTGTGCCTGCAGCACTCAGTCTAAGTTTTGTTCTTAAAGTCCAAAGATCCCTAAGATGCTACCAGCGGGCTCTGTACATTCTAAGGCTTTAGTAATATATTATTTTATTAAATTAAATAACATACTTATGGGAAACAGCGTATTTAGAGTTTAAACCATAAAATAGGTATTACTAGGCATTTTTCTGAGCATATCTGAAGTTTGTGGTTTTTCACAGTTGACAGATGCTCTAGGAATATCACCCTTACAAATTCAAAGGCCATTATATGTCATTATAGATAGCATTTCCACTTACTTTTGCCAATGTCACGTGATTGAGAATTTTTCTAAGCATCAGAGTTCACTTTATTTCATTAACGATTCATTTCTTCCTGGTCATTTCCATCAAATGTTGCTTTTCAGATAAAATATAGTAAATGCAAATACTGGTGAGGTTGCAGAGCTTTTGGACTACAGAGGATACATTATAGATGAGAATATAAACTGGTGCAATCACTATGGAAATCACTATGCAGATTATTAAAAAATCTAAAACTAGAAATTCCATCTAAGTCAGCCACTCCATATTTTAGTATCAATTCCAAAAGAATTAAAGATATCATACCCATGTTTGTAACAGCGCAAGTCATACTAGCTAACCCTCAGAAGCAGCTCAAATGTCCATCAACAGATGCATGAATAAAGAAAATGTATTTATATTCTGTGGAGTACTAGTTAGCCATGAAAAAAGAAAAATTTGAGTCATTGTAGGAAAATCAATGCACTTTGAGACCACCATGTTAAATGAAGTAAATCAGGCATGCAAGTGTAAATACCATATAACTTGTCTAATATGAGGAACTCAGCTTTTTAAAAATAAAAGATAGACAATGGAAAACAGTAAGACAGATCTTTTGCAAATAAGAAGGAGATTCAGACATGGAAGAAATAGGGAGTTGGAGGGGACAAGGAAGGGAAATAAAAAGATTAAAGTTATGTTAAGTACATGATCCTAATCCCTAAGATGAATGTAAACATTATGTATTGCAAGCATATACTAATAAAAATTAAAACAAAATGGAGTAAATATATAAAATCTATATTGAAATAATCAGTATAAATATGGGAAAGAGAAAGTAGATAATATTAAGATTTAGAATTTGTTTTATCATGTTAACCTTAACCTTAAAACCTAAGGCTCCCAAAATAACTATAATTGTATGTACTGTAAACACGGACTAATAGAAATTCAAAAATAATGCCAAAATGTAAAAAAGTATGGGACTATCATAGCTCATGAAAGAAAGAAGCTTATTTCAAAGCTTATGAAATACATTTTTGAATTTTTAGACTGAAGGCTTTATATATCCTTTCCCAAATTTATCGCCAAGCCTTACTTCCTATTTGCTCCAGTCACACCACTGGAATAACATTGATTTTCTCACTTTTACTCAAACATATTTCCCCTCTTATCTTGCACAGATTCACTAATAATCTCTCATCATAGATCAGTGAACACAAATACATAGTGGTGCTGAAGACATTAAAATGAAGCACACGGTTTCTTACATGGAGGGTCCTGCAGGCCATTTGAAAAAGACACTGGAATAAAAGTATGCTCTGTTTTCAGAGGGTGATGGCCAACCAATGATCTCTCCTCTCTTATAAAAATGAATGTGTTGATCCATTTTAAATTCCATGTTAAAACGTGATAATGAGTGATCATGGAAATCATCTTCCCTTGCTGGGAAGTGGATGAAGAAAGTGCACAAGAGCTCTTCTTTTTTTTTTTTTTTTTTTTTTTTTTTTTTCATTTTTATCGGTACCAGGGATCGAACTCACAACCACCTGCTTGCCAGGCAGGTACTTATGCCT